GTTTGCCTGCAACTGCCCTCACCTGTCGAGGCATGTAAAGATAGCATATACCATCATAAATGGCATTTACCTACCAGAACCATTTTTCCCTTGTTATTCTCCAATTCACGATGCTCCCTGAATATAAAAAAATCAGTAATCAACACCAACCCATTCTTCCTTGCCTTTCTTTTGTGCTAATGCCAGTTAATAGTGAAACTTGCCAAAGGAATAGAATTAAAAATCCAGAGTCCCATAGTATCAGTATGGCCCATTTAATGGGAAGGCTGGGATAACAGGAATAATCTCTCTAGATCTGTGTTATATAGGCAGTAAAACATATACCTTTGTAGCATGCCAGCATTTAACCAATCATAGAAGCTATTTGTTGCCTCATATATTACAAGGCAATAGAGATTTAAGGGATAATGTTCATGGAGGCAGAGGATACGAAGCAATAAACAGCATTGGAGGTTGGTTAAATGCCAAGTGAAGCCAGGACTACAGCATCATAAACATTTTTCCTACTATATGACAAGATAAGGAGGTACAAGGAACTGCCCTCAATCCCACCACAACTAGGGCTCCACTGTTATTCTTGGCTTTAGAAAGGAAAAACACGAGTTCCATGAGCAAGTTATATTCCATGTCTCAGACAGGTAGGAACCCCAACTTGTACGTAAATGTCCTCTGGAAGAAGAACAGCTCCAGTGGCAGACACCCTCAGGGGAGGGAAGAGGGGCAGCTCCTCAGGTCATACTGGACAGAAACGAGCAAAGGATTTTTCCTTAAAAGGACAGCATTGATACCGAGCAGTTATTACAGAAACCCTTCTCAATGACTAATAGGATCACACTATCCATTAAACAGTATCTCTTCATAGAAATGTGTTCATTTTTAAGGAAACAGTCATTTTAAGAGTAATAAGCTTATATGATCAGCTTCTGCTCAGGGACTTGATTACGATAACCAGAAAGTCTACTTGAATATGAATAATTTGTACTGTAATACAGTATCTATGCTTGAGAGGAGGTATTGAAATATGAAACTGGTTGACTACTGGAAATCAGAATTGGACAAAAAGCATCCAAAAGATATGTTATCTAACTGCATCCTCATGGAATAATATCTCAAATCCAAGACTACTGACCAATACATAGTAATTTTTCCTACTTTATAATCCACCTTCAAATAAAAGTGCCCCTTAAAGCATTAAAAAAATCTCAAGATTTGCTGGATTCAGCCATAAACTGTATTTCTATTATTTAACACTCACACACAAGCAAAGCCATTTTATAGTCACGTTTTTAAAATACAGTATACGGTTGGCAAAAGTAGGTTTACAGTTGTGACATGCAAAACACAGAGGTTATTCTTGTATTATAATTTATTTATTATTGTAGTATTTTCCATACAAACAACTATAAATCTACTATCCCCCCCTCCCCCCGCCACAATATATGCTATTTTTTAACCATCACATCAAAAACCCATTCAACTCAACTTTAACCAGTCTTTGTCACACGGAATCTGGGCACAATTGCCTTAACAACACCAACCCATTCTCTGGAGGCAGCTCTGTTAACTACCACTTCTGCCGCAGTCCACAGAGAGGTATCAGTAGGAATATTGCTTTCCCTGAATTCCTCCTCATGAAGGTGATGAGGCTCAAGAGAAAGAGAGTCTCAACAGAGAAAAGCCGTATCACCTGTCTTTTCAGATAAGAATGCAGAGAACACAACCTTTAGCAGCCATCTCTAAAAAAAAGTACCGACAGCATATTTAGAACTCAGCTGTGTCACATCAGACTTACTGTTGGGAAGTGGATCATGAATAGAATCCAAAAATAACAGCCATTAAAGACCTAGCAACCAAAACATGTTTATGTATCCATTGAAAGCCTGGTGGTTTTGATTATATGGTGGAGAGCATAATCCACTAGTCTATTTTAGGTGAATTTTCCTTTCACCTTCCTAACTTAATATTAAAGTGTAAGATGTTTTCTGAGTTTGGGGGTACCTGGGGTAAAGCCTGGGCAGGCAACAGATATTAACATAATGCAAAAATCCTATAGTTTTTGTTTGTTGGTTTTTAAGGATCAGTCTCTTGAATTATTTGTTTACATTCTTTCTTCCTCTAACTGGTAGAAGCCACTGGTTTTTGAGATTTCTAGAGCACTGTTTCGGCAAACTCATCAGTCAACAGAGCCAAATATCAACAGTACGATTGAAATTTCTTTTGAGAGTCAAATTTTTTAAACTGAAACTTCTTCTAACGCCACTTCTTCAAAATAAACTCGCCCAGGCCGTGGTATTTTGTGGAAGAGCCGCACTCAGGGGCCAAAGAGCCGCAGTTTGCCGACCACGGTTCTAGAGCATTAAATTCTAAACCATGCATAACAAGAATTACCACAGTCCTTTTTTTTTTATATATATATATATTTTATTGATTTTTTAAAAATATATTTTATTGATTTTTGTACAGAGAGGAAGGGAGAGAGATAGAGAGTTAGAAACATCAATGAGAGAGAGTCATCGATCAGCTGCCTCTTGCACACCTCCCACTGGGGATATGCCCGCAACCAAGGTACATGCCCTTGACCGGAATCGAACCCGGGACCCTTTAGTCCCCAAGCCGACGCTCTATCCATTGAGCCAAACCGGTCCCGGCGAATTACCACAGTCCTTATTATCCTTTCTGGGACTTAGCTTTTTATTATTTTACTATTTCTGGAATAAAGAATTTGAATCAATGACAAAAGTCTATAAATAGCTTCAAGGCCTCCAGGTGTCTCCAGAATGAAACCATTTCCAAGGATGACAGGCCAAGGGTAGTTCACTGTACCAAATTTATCTTCTCCGCTAGATTTTCACTATTTCATAATAGCAGTAAATCTTGCAGGGATCCCACTCTATAGTTATTTGTTACCAGATATTGGGAAAAACTTGGAAGAAGACTAAAATATAACTAAAGAACTACACTTTCACCTGACCATAAAGTTTTAGCATGCAAGAAGGTAAAAAAATCTGGCTACCTTCAAAGCCTTAAGTTGTAACTTTCTATCTTTTTTCTATGAAACAAGTAAGTGACTTCCAAAAGAATGCAGCAGTCTCCCGAAGTTCTGCACTTCTGAGAGGAAGAGTCTTCAAGACCTACACCAGAGTTTATCATTAATCTTAACAACCAAAATACCAACCAACAACTCAGAAACGGGAAGAAGTAGTAGGTGAAGAAAAAGGTTTATGGTAAACAACTCAACAATGTTAAGAAACCAAAGTGAAAAGTACCTTGATTTCTTACCTCTAGTCCAAAATGAGAAGGAAAAAAAAAAACCAACCCCCCCCCCCAAAAAAAAACAACGCACAACACAACCCCACAAAAAAATAAAATTAAATTAAAAAATCTTCCAGCTCTCAAATTTCAGTGAAAACTACCCTTTTCTGATAGCTTGAAGAAACATTATTCAGAACTTTCATCCTTGGAGAGCTTAAGAGATGCTTCTCCTGTGTGTCCCTTTATTTTTATTTCTTTAAGTCCTTGTCTAGATGGTTTTAGGTACAAAACTTATAAGAGAGATTATAGGCACAGAGTGGCTTAAATAATAAGTGAATAAAAATAAATGTACATATGAGAAAAATACATATTTTTACCAAAAATGTAGATTTTTAAAGTAAAGAAGAAAAGTGAAAAAAGTACCAGGTATCAATTATGGGAGTCACATTAAATACTTTTAGCAATAAATTCACACAAAATTTTGGAGGAATCAGGTTCAGATATGTACTTCAATACAGATGTCTGAAAAGTGAAGCAAATTTACTCTATATCCCCAAGTGGCTTCTATTGTTAAAAAAAAAAAAAAAAAAAAAAAGTAAAAACCACATGGAGAAAACATGCAGTCAACAATATAGCCGAAAACTTTGACAAGGAAGGAAATAAACCCTACAATGCTGAATACTTCAAAATTCAATGCTTTTTCAGTATTTTCTGAAAATTTCAGCATTTCCTGGAATTTGAAATCAACCTCTGCCTATTCCTTTCACCATTCCCATCTCATCCACCTCTCAAATTCCAATTCTTAGGAATCTCTGGAACTTATCGCTCCCTTTTTTTTGTCGAAGTATTTACAATGTTTAATAGAACTAGTCTGCAATCTCACATACCACCAGTAAGTGTCACTGGACAGTCACATGACTTATTTCTAACTGAACAGAAATTCAACCCTTCAGGATCCATAAAATCAATTCATGAAGACAGAGAAAACTTTCTTTGTATTCCTTTATTCATCCTTTGTGGGACACAGAAATAGGGGAGGGTATAGGAAGAAGAAGAGTCAAGAAAGTACAAAATGGGGGGAAAAGGGCAATTTCAAAAAATTACTTTATTAAAAAAGCATATGATGAAAAACATCTGATACATGATATACACATCCACAAACAATAACATGGCAGCAGGGAAAATGGCTGAGAAGTCTTGCAGCTTATATATTGCTATGGGATCTCAGGTTCTATGTTGGATTTGTCTTTCTTAGAGATATGCCATAGCAGCTGACAGTGATTTTCTGAATCAAAATCAAAAGAAACGTGTTTTTTTTTCATATTAAAAAAAATCCAAATAGACTCTGGTAAATTGGGGTTAACAATGAATGGATGCGATCTCAGCAGCCTATCCAAATATTTAAACTGACTTTTATATCCATGAACGTTGAGGAGAAGATATTTCAAAGCTTGGCTTTGTATTTAGATGGATAGGTTTAGAAAGGAGAGAGAGCAACGTGTATTCCTCAACACGGAGTTGGGAAACAAACACCAGTAGAATAACAATACGAAAGAGAGAAAGGCAGATTTCATTACGGTAGAGTGCCTACACTTCCTCATAACTTGGATTTACACACTGCAAATCCTCTGATCTGATTACCTCCAGTGATCACGTAAAATACCGGCTTTAAACTCTTTGCCTTAGTGATAAAACAGCCACTTTGATTCACAACGAGACATTCACAATAAAGTATATTGTAAACGTACCTGTCCACAGCCCGGGGCATTGCACACAAACGGTCTGTCGTCTCCCATATTTCATATAGCAGAGCGGAGCTGAGGAGGAGGAGGTAGGGGGGAAAGTTATGTTAAATATGCTGGAGTTTTAAAAAAAAGTGCTTCAAAAATATCAACCCTAGAAACAGGTGCTCCAAGAATGCCATCTATCAAAGCTGTAAACACAGGCTATTAGGGGAGACACATTAGACAGGTGGCATATTATCTACTGTGCCTCAATTAAAACTTTTAATTAGAAAAATTAAGACCTAAATAGGCAAGGAATTTCAAACCCTTTTTGCTAGATTTTCCTTCTTTCTGCTACAGAATATAACACACTTCTCCAGTCTGCTGAATTACAACCAGTGCCGTTCCCTATGTCAATAAATCCACGGAACGCTCGATGCGGAAGCCATATTTCTGAACTAGAGAAGACCAAAATTTGTCATTTAATTAATTAAGGGATTATAGGAGGGGTGCTCCATTTTACAGGGCTATAATCTGGCTCCCTAGTGTATAAACTAGTAGACGGTTGGCAAGGGCCGTTTATCCCAGATTATTGCCAAAGAAAACAAAGCACCCATCCTATTGGGCTACACGGGAAATAATTTTCATTAATAAAAAATAAAAATAAAAACCTCCTCTCCCCACGGGGAGCCTCCTTCTCCCCCCACCAATCGTCTGTGGCAAATGGAGAAATATCGGTGCCCTTCCCCCTCTGATTCTATTTATGGCTAGGTTTTTAAAAGCAGCAATAAAACAAATGTCGACTCTTTGGGGGTTTACTGGGTGAATATGTTCCGGCTGTTTGTGCTGCTCTCGGCCAGAGTTCCTGGGCTGATCCGTAGCAGCCAGCAGATGTGTGCTGCTGCAGGGGATAAAGAAATGGCACTAAAAGGCATCCCATCCATCCTCTCTATTTCTCTAAAGAATTTAACAGGGTTTATATTGTTGTTGTTTTTTAATTATTGAAGCTAACTCTTGCAATGCTGATAGAAATTCTTTGTCAAAGAACAATAATTCCAATATGAATGTGCAGGGGGAATTTTTCCTATCTCTCCTAGGAATAAGAATAGAGATGGAGGTGAACAAAAATTAGAAATATAAAAAAATAAATAAAGCAGTACTTTGAAAAGGTGGGCAGGGGGAGAGAGGGACATAAAAACAGTCTTTATACGATAAACTCTTAAAGGACATTTTCAAACGTCCTTCTCTAAGAGAGAAAGGTATGTGAAGAAATATGAACAAGAGAAGGTGAAAGAGAAAGAACTAAAATTTGAATATGCCTTCAGAATTATAACCAAATTTCACATTTTTATCTTGGAGACAAACCAAAATGTCAGGTTAACCTCAGGCAGGCCTGCGTTAAATTAAAATATGAAAGTGCTAGACTAGATCCGGAAATCAGAATGCTATGCTTAAAACTCCGAGGGTAGCTAGGTAACAACGCTTCTTCAACTCTCTTAAGACTCACTCTGGGGCTGGAAAACAGTATTTTTGGTAGTCTGATCAGTAATTCCACAACCAATCGGTGTTTAAAATTGTGGGGTGTCTGTAAAATAGAAAGGGCTTCTTAGTCACCTTTCAGGGTGACAGGAACAGGGTCTAACTCTGAAGAAGCGGTGCCGCGGCATTATTGCTGTAATGGAAGAGAGCTCGCGTGTACATAGGTGTACACAGATTTATATCGCATTTAGCCAGGATAAATTGCTTCAATAAATTGTGTTCCTGAGAGGCCAGCTCAAGCTGATGATTGGGTGCTGGGAAATGAGAGCTTTATTTTTCTTCACACAGCCTCAGGACAGGGGATTTTTCTGGTTTGTTTGTTTTAAATACATGATGGTTTTTTAGCACTTTCTGGAACTACAACATAGTACAAAAAAAATGCAAAGGCCAAGGTCATTATGACTGAAAATTCAGAGTATTTCTGAAAAGCCAATTATCTCCGGAAAAAATCCTACAACTGCTGTGCTGGAGGTAATTTCACTTCCTAATCCCAGACCCTGCTTTCTGAATATAATCACAAAAATGAGATTTTTATCTCAACAAGGTTCTCTAGCATATTTTCAGTCAGGAAGTAATAAACTACAAGGAATAGAGAAGATATAAGGACCAGACAAGATTCCTTATTTTTTATCTTAGTTTTGTTATTTGAGGCTGGGTTTTTTTGGTGGTTTTTTTTTCTCCATTTTATACCTAGAGGAGGAAGAGTCCTGGTTGAGGAGTGGGGCAGTGTTGGCATAGGAAGGAATGAAATACATTCTAGAATGGTTTCCCCCAAAATCACAAAATTCAAAAATTTTCCTGGTTTTTCACAATCACATTATAATACTGTATATGCCTTCCAAATTTTATTTAATTGACTCTTTACAAGGAAATAGAGATGAAAAACCATAACTTCTTAAAGCAATTTAAAGGGAAGCAAAACCAAATTGGGGGGAGGGAAGGCATTAAAATGTAACAGAAGCATGCATTTTTATGACTTAAATATTCTAATCTGACAGTCCCTAACTAGGATTTCAGGCTTCCTTCCCTATTTGCTGGCTTTTGTTTGCCATTTTCACCAAAGGGAGATCACAATGGGAGGAAGGAGGCCCGCTTTAAGTACCCACAATTATTCTTAAATCATTCTCTCAATCTCTTGCCCCTTTTCTTTTTCATCATTCTTGCTTTTCACTTTAAAATGATTTATCTTTTTAAAATATTAAATATTTAGCAACAATAATGATCGGTCACATTACTTTAAGAAATTTCTAGCTTACATTAAAAAAAAAAAATTCCTGGCCCATGCACATCAGTTCAATTGCTGGTCAGGGCACATGCCCAGGTTGCAGGTTCAGTATGGTCAACCGATCAAGTTTCTCTCTCAAATTTCTCTCGTATCGATGTTTCTCTCTCTTCCTCGCTCTCTCTCAAATCAACAAGACTTACTTTTTAGCCCTGGCTAGTGTGGCTCAGTTGGTTGGAACATTACCCTGTACAACAAAAGGTTTGATTCCTAGTCAGGGCACATGCCTAGGCTGTAGGATCCATTCCTAGTTGGGGTGTGAATAGGAGGCATCTGGTTGATGTTTTATTTTCACATGGATGTTTCTCCCCCCCCCCCCCCCGCCCCTTCCTTCCTCTCCAAAATCAGTAAAAGCAAGGTGAGGATTAAAAATTAATGATAAAATGAATAAAAAACAAAAAATTTAAATAACAAAACAAAAATAATTTATCCTCCATTCCCAGTCTGTTGCATCAATTGCTATCTATAATACAATGAATGACATTGCTTATTTCTACTTCATACTTTAAAAAAATCTCTAGTTATGAGGTCAAATTGATGCCCTCTCAAAAACAAAAAAGCATTTCTATAGCAGAAGATATAAGGACCAGACAAGATAAACAGACTGAGAGAAAAAGTGAAATCAATAATCATGTTGCCATTCACTAAAATTTAACTCAGTTCATTTGTAACTGTACTGTTTGACAAGTAGGTCATGTGTCTGGCCATGGCACTCACATCCATAATATGCTTCTTGATTTTCAGGGTGAAACTCAAGCATGTTATAGAACTAAGCAATAAATAATAGCCAAAGGAAATATATAGGATGTCCCCCAAAAATGTAGATACACTTTAACAGCTGTCAGCTCAATTTTGAAAATGAAATATATTTTAATAAACACTGCCTTTTATAATTATTCAAAGTGTGTGCATTCATTTTTTGGGGGGGACATCCTATATTTAGAGATATCTCCTAAGGGAAGTAGAGATCTTAGAAGAGGAAAACAAAGGATGCATAAAAAGGCTATCCTACACACCAAGTCTGCCAAGGAAAAGGCTCAAATACTCAAGAAGCAGCAGAATGCATAAATGATAAAAATTAGTATTTACTTAAAAAATACAAGTTATCAGAATGCTAGGAGGGAACTGAAGAAATCCCAAGATTTAGAGAATGATTTTTAATAACTGGGATAATTTCTTAAACCTATGTTAAATAATTTTGTCACAGCCAGAAGTATAATCTAAAATGGTCAATGTACAAATAAAAAAACTATCTCTCTACTGTGCATATATGTGTATCTCTCTCTCTCCCTTTGTTTTATATTTTTAAAATAAAATAAATATGGAGCCCTAGCCAGTTTGGCTCAATGGATACAGAATTAGCCTGAAGGGTCCTGGGTTTGATTCCAGTCAAGGGCATGTTATCTGGGTTGCAGGCTTTTCCCCAGCCCAGGCCCCTAGTGGGGCCCTGGTTGGGACTGGTATAGGAGGCAACCAATCACTGTGTTTCTTTCACATCAATATTTCTCTGTCTTTTCCTCTCTCTTCCATTCTCTCTAAAAATCAATGGAAACATGTCCTTGGGTGAGGATTAAAAAATAATAATAAAATGAATAAAATAAAATAAAAATGGAATCTGTTACTGAGGTCCAAAGAGTCAGTTCTCTAGACCTGGTTATACTGTAATTATTTCTTTAGTAATCAACTAATGTTAATAAGATGGCCCAACTTTCAGTAAGGAATAAAAGCCATATATAAACACACCCAAGGGTCTGTTCTTAGGTTCCTAATAACAAAAAGCAACTGTTCCTAGGTACAAAAAATGAGAAGGGCACATGTACTATAAATATCAAAGATTCATGAAAATCTAGAAGGGGTTCACACTAGCTATTACTCATTCATTCAAAAAACATTACTAAGGAACTACTAAGTGCAAGGGAAAGTGGACGTAAAAAAAAAAGATAATAGACCTCTGCAAAAAATAAATAAATAAATAAATAAATAATAAATAAATATGTGTGTGTGTGTGTGTGTGTGTGTGTGTGTGTGTGTATATATATATATATATATATATATATATATATTCTATGTCAAAGAAAACCAGAGCTGGATAGTAACGTGGTAAAACAGATTTTATTCAGGATTACTGCAATAGGGAAAAAGACATCTCAGTATAAGAACTGGGCTCAGTTCCAAATATAGCATGGGCAAGTGGGAATACATAGCCAAGCACCAGGGGGGCCTCGGTGGGTAGAAAATTACTAAGAGGAGAAGGGAGATTCTGGCTAAATTG